GCCTATATCTGGAACAAAGCAATACAGAACTGATGGCACTTTACAATGACACTGATATCACCACTGCTATCAAGATAAATCGACTATGGTGGACAGGTCATGTGGCGAGAATGAACGATGATCAAATCCCTAGGAAGCTGCTGGATGAATGGCTGTATGGACGAAGACCGATGACCGAAGCTGCGCTGAAGTGATGGTGGGGTAGATGATGCTCAGTCCATCCTTGGCATAAGGAACTGGAGAGAAGCAGCACAATAGAGATAGACTGGCGATCGTTGATGTGGACGGCCTTGCTCCCTCGCAGAGTGTAGTGCCAATTAAGAAGGAAAATTCAGACTGAAATTCTTGTTGACAAAGGGAGTATGTTTGTTGTACAACACTCTCCCACACACTTCTGAACTAGTTTAGTTATGGTATTTTGAACCACTTTGCATACTCTCCTGACTTTGTCTTCAGATTTTATCTTTACTTGGAGTTAGAGGAAATTCACTATTTGCATAATCTGTAGAAATAATTGTATACACCACTTTTTTCTTAACTAATAATCTACTCATTTCCCGAAGAAATGCATTATGTTAAAATTTTAAGATCACTAAATTTCATTTGTCCCATGTAAAATCATTTACAAATGAATGGGTAAATGGCCATTAAACTGTATGAAATTTGAGAAATATTTCAATCATAGCTTCTATACTCAAGTTAAACACTGTTAATTTTTTCCTCTCTTTTATTTTGTTTTATTTTTACTATATATATTTTTTCTGTTGACACTTTGTAAATATTTTGCCATCTTAGCAAGTCTATTCTATTTCTGCCTACCTTGGGCTATTTCTTTCCAGTTATCTGGATGCAGTTTTTTTTTTTGCTTCTTTTTTAAATCGATCTATCCATCTGCTTTTTGGCCTTCCATGTGGTCTTTAGCCTATTGAGGCATTCATTGCCGTGAAGAGGCTTCCAGATGGATTACTCCGAGCTACATGCCTCGCCCATCTTAACCTTTGTACCATCATAACAAGAGATATTGATTGAACAGTTTCTGTAAGCAGCTCTTCAATCTTTCTTCTTCAAATGTTAGTACTCTGATTCCAGATCGCTTCAGTAATCGTGCCGAGGATTTTACTATATTTATTGAATTACTTGTTCAACAATACAGCAATTTGAAATAAAATATTTCAATTAATTGTATTATTAAGTGTTTCTAATAAATTTAAATTCGAGTTTCAAATATAGTTAAATGGTCTCAACCAAAATTTGAATTTTGCATCAGTTTTGGAAAACGTACCTTCCTGGGTCGTCTTATGCAATTGAATTTTACTCCCTATACCATGCTGGATATTTTGGGAAAAAATCCCAGCCATTTATTTACTGGTCGGCTGAATGGAACTAAAAAATAGCATTTGAGCAAATCAGTTTTGAAAATGAACTCAGTAAATTTCCACAATGGCTAATAACTTTATTGGGAGTAATATAACTTTTGTTAAATTTGCATGTGTTTAACTTTCCATTGAATGAAATTTCAAAAATTAACCTATTTGAGTCCAAATTTCATTAAAACACAACTGATCTGGACAACAAAACTTGGCAATGTTAGTTCTATTTGAGAAGACTATTGGTAGCTAGATTCATCTATTGAATAAATATGTCATTGGCTCGTAGTCTGAAAGAAGCTGACAAACTGACCTGGAAATCCTTTGAGTTATTGAATTACCATATATGGAGTACAGGAAAGGCTCTCCCTTATAGCCCAGGACCAGTCTGTTGTATAATCCTAGCATACATTAAAAGGAGAATTGAGGTGACTAAACAACAATAATGGCAAAAAAACATTTTAAGCTGTTTATAGATAATCCTTGAGAAAGTAGAAGCAAAAATCTGCTTAAATTGGAAAGGGTATCATCAAGAAAAATTATAAATTAAACTGGTCAGTATATACTGAACAGTAAAATGTTTGAATTCGGGTTGCTAGGATCACCTTTGTATGGATCATGTCATAATGAGAACAAACAAGCATACCACGTCATCTTCTGGTGTGACAGATTCATGAAGGTTAAGGTTTATATTGTTTGAAATAGATCACGTAGCAGACACGGCTTTTCAACAAGCCTTTAGAGATCTGCTTAATTTAAGATCGCCCAGTATAGTGCCGCAGTCAGCCACTGGTCCTTCAAATACAAGTTGGGGAAACAGTACACTCACAAACACACAGTATATTAAAACAGCACACTATACTCATCCCTACACTCTAAGGATAAAGGTCATTAACAGTACACACCCTAGGATTACCTCCTCTAGGAAGCCGTCCCAGATGGGGTTGTACGTCTGCAGGCACTAAAGTGGCAGCCCCATTAACAGACTAGGGTATGCAGTAAGGATCGATAGCCCAGCTACCCAGTATGTAGATCACGCCTGATGGATTGGTTGTCAATCAAATCGATCACATATTGATAGGGAGGTGACATAAATCCAATCTACTCAATACATGTATAGTCCAAGGAGCTAATGTCAACTCTGAACACTACCTCTCAATATCACATTGCAGCCTAAGTCCAGACAGGGCTTTAGCAGTAAAAAAAGTTAAAAGTTCAACCTGCAGAAGCACCAAGACCCAATGGTAATGAACCAGTATACAGTCGAGCTTGACAAAGTATTACAATTAACGCACCATGAATAAGGATCGGTAGAAGATGAGTGGCAGGCCTGCTTCAAAGCATTGGATGAAACGGTGGATGCAATTCTCGGACCAGCCCAGAAGGAATGCCATTCCCCGTGGTTTGATGACGAATATGCAAATGCAACTCATTGAAAGAATGGGGCATATCATGCTATGATGCAGAGAGGGATGAGATGTAATGTCGAGGAGTACAGGAGGCTTCGTCGAGAGGAGAAGAGACTCCATCAGAAGAAGAAGAGGCAGAAAGAGCGTGAGGAGTTGCAGAAAAGAGAAGTCTTGCATAGAAGCAAAGAATTAAGAGAATTATTTCACAGGATAAATAAGCTCAGATTGCCTTTAACTGGCACCCAGATCTCTTGCCTGGATAAAGAAAGCAATCTTCTTACTGATAAGTCCTAGCAGAATGGAGGAGGCATTTTGCAGACTGACTGACCCAAACGTCAATCCATAGGCCATTAACAGAGCCCTACCTGGTGTAGAAGATAAAGAATCTGAATTATAACCACCTAATGAGGAGGAGATTGAGAAAGCTGTGGATAGGCTGAAGAACCACAAGGCTCCAGGATGCAATGCATTCCCTACAAAATCTTACAATATGGAAGCAACGAACTGGTAAGGGCATTTCAAAATCTTTTTATGTCAATGCGGGAGGATGAAGCACCTTAAGCATGGAGAAAATCGATGATCTGTCCGATTCACAAAAAGGTTATTGCCTAGCATGTACTAAGTACTGAGGCATATTCTTACTGACGTCCGGATACAAAGTCCTCTCAAATGTCCTATTCACATGTCTCCTTCCCTAAGCTGATAGAGCAATTGATCCCTACCAATGTGGATTTCGATGTGGAAAATCAACCCTCTGCCAAATATTTAGCCTGAAAACCATATCGGAGAGAAGACACAAACTTAAAAGCAAAAGCAAAAGACGCACCATCTCTTCATCGATTTTAAGGCCACATACAATAGTATTAATTGTGATGAGCTCTATCTAGTGATGGAGAAATTTCAAATCCCTCAGAAGCTCATATGCATGGACAGGCTGACCATGAATGAGGATCATGTTCAGTTCACGTTACGATCTATCCGAGGAATTCCAAGCGACGAAAGGCCTAGAGCAGATTGATGCCCTGGCATGCCTCTTATTCAACATTGCTTTGGAGAAGAATTTGAGAGAATCAGGCATACAGATTGAGCAGACAATATTCAGTCAGAGTACACAACTACAAGCTTATGCGGACAATGTCAACATCATAGGGCGCTCTCAACAGGCTGTCAGGGAAGCTTTTCTTGCACTGGTAGATCCTGCAAGGAAATTTGGGCTCGAGGTGAACCAGGAGAAAATCAAATAGATACACACAAATACCAAATACCGAAGAGACGCCTGAACGCAATGAGATGGTAACATTCGGGGACTACCAGTTTGAGAAAGTCACTAAATTTATTTATCTAGCCTCAAATTTTAAGAGCCAAATGTCGTTCATATGGTTAAACTGAGCCAGTTGCAGTGGGTAGGGCATATGGCAAGCATGAGTGAAGAAGAGTTGCTTAGGAAACTTTTGATAGAGCCTCTCTATGGAATGAGAAAGCGAGGAAGACTGAAGCACAGATGGGTAGATGAAGTTGAAACTGAGGCTCGGAACATCATTGGAGTGCACAACTGGATGACAGCTGCACAGAACCGTGATGATTGGTGGAAGTTGCTAGTGGAGGTCTGGACCCGGCAAGGGGTTGTTGTGTCGAGATAGTAATAATAATATGTTTTAAACAGTTAAGACCGATCATTTCATTTGTATAGTCTTCGCAATGAAAGCCTCAATAAAAGTGTTTAAAACTAAGGGCATAATTTTAGCAACCAGCAAGCAGCTAATCCTCATTAAGGTGAGATATGTGCATAACTACCTCTTCAGAGGTGCTATAATTGAGTCCTAAAATGACTAGATTGCAATGGTTTGAAAAAAATGACAAAATGTTTCATGAGACAACAAAGAACCTTACACGACAATGATCTAACGTTGTACCAGAAGATCACTTCACTACCAGGAACGAAAGGGAAAAGGTGAGAAGGTAATTCATTATATGCAATAGAGCATGGGAGTCCTCTCCTTCCCCTACCATATGCCAAAACATGACAATGTAGGGGGATAAATAATACAAAAAAAAAATAGGGCATGGTAGAATTAGGTTGTTAAAAAAATGGAACTTCAAAAATTAAACCTAATAATGTAGGACAAAGGAAAACTCATAAGGAGTATCATTTATTTTTATTAAAATTCTAATAATATATTTATAAACAATGAAACGGTTTGCTAGTACAAATTATACTACTTACGAATTTCATATCGAAGACATGTTATCCCCCATGCTTCACTAGCTTTATTTATTGAAGCAACAATATTGACATTTAAATTTTCTCGCTCTCTAAAAACATTATCAAGAGTAATTTTCCCCAGTTCTGATCTGAAAAAAGTTAAAACTAACAATAATTGTTTGAAATTTCAACTTGAATACATTAATTACATCACTATTTTATTGCTTGAATTAAAATCCAATTAAATGTTTAGAAATACTAATATTACAATAAATTGTTTCACAATTATTCAAATAAAAACTATAGGTATCATATGATAATAATAGAAATATAAATACTAGATCTAAATTTCCACTGATTTAATTTTTATATTTTTAGTCATGCGATGCCTTGGCAAGCAAACATTCTTTCATTTAGGGAGAATCGTGAATCAGAAACAGTTAACTAATAAATAAATCTGTTAGGTATGTGAATATTCAAGAGGTCAAATCAGTCTTAAGACAGATAATAGGATCGCAAACAATAATAGGACTTGTAAGACCACAGAACTATCAGGCAGGAAAAATAAAAACTATTTTTAGCAAATGAATTGATTTAAAATTCTCATATCAACTGCAAATCAAGACCATTTTGGTCTGAAACCTACAAGGAAAATGAATTGGATAAGAAAAAAATTATTAGACCTAATGTTAGAATGAGTCACAATGGCCTTCAGCCACAAAGAAAGAGAAAGAAATCTGCAGGTCCAGTCGTGTCAAACTTAAAAAATCCACCTACTTACAATGTCAGATTAATAATATTCCATATTTTTCAAAAACATTTAATTTTAGAATTATATTATTTTTCAAACTTTAATTTGTCAAATTATCTCGAGTTAAATATTAAGCCTATTGGTTTACTCCATTAACAGTGCTCACATGCTTTATTTTATTTATTTATGCTTTCTGATAAGGTATCTCCTTCATATAACATTTGTTTTTTAATGTCCTTCAGTGGTCTTGTATAAAATAGAATGACAATAATACAAAATATTTTTTTGTATGTCAACAGTCAATATCAAAACTAACGGAAAATGAGTTAATTAATTATAAAAGAAAAATAAACAGAAACATCTAAGGATGAGTTTTTAATTTGTCCAGTAAAAATTTATTTACAGTTAAAATTGAAGCAACAAATTCATAAACATTACAAAAGTCATAAATATTAAGGAGTAATCATGCCAGAAAGAAATAGGATCTATTGACATCACTTACCTCAACATCTGACATTATCTTATATTTTTAATAGAATAAGAGGTATAGAATTGAATAGCAAGACTTATAATATGAAGTCTAACTGTAGATAACTATAGCTTTGGATTATTTGAACAGAATATACATACATGCGAAATATTCTGAAAAGATATCAGAAGATATAGGTAATCTAAAACTATTTACTCTATTATTAGTACTACTTTTATTACTTAGTATTACCCTATTATAAGTATTACTTTTATTACCTAGTATTACTTTTATTATTTAGTATTACTTTTATTACCTAGTATTACTCTATTATTATTAATACTTTTATTACTAAGTATTACTCTATTATTAGCTATTATTTGTAACTTTTTACAGTTTGATTATCATGGACAATCAAGATATTTCATAAAAATTAATAAAAACTCCATTAGCAAATAAAAAAACTAGTGCGTGAATCACACAATTTTCATTTATCACATTGCTTTGAATAAAATTATTTTATAGCAAAATTGGGCTGTTACAAAAACTTTTTAAAGTGAATTTGTAATGGAGGTAAACCTTAAAGAACACATCTATGAATTTTGGTCATATTAGTAAAAACTCATTAAGACCATAGAAATAACATAAATCGTATCCATTACATCAATGGCAGCCAATGAAAACTTTGTAAACCACATAATTAACTCATCATTGTTATTCTAAAGGGACTTAGTCCCAGAATAAAGTTTAATTTTCTATTCTATTCTAATTCTATTTGAACCACACAATTCCAGTCTCCGAGCGCATTAGACAAAGAAACATTTGAAAATACAAATATATATTTAATCAATAAATAAATAATGATAGTACAGTACTACGCAGTCAAAATTATAGAAACTAAATCTGTATAACTTTTTACCTATTATCTTTTTGCTTATAAAATTTACAAAAATTAGGTTTTCATGGCCGAACATCACCAGGTATAGAGTAGTCACACCTCTAAAATCAGTCCAAGTATGTAGTCGTCCCAGGGCAACCTCCATCTAAGAGCCTTCCCCTCTCCTGTGGTGTCCCTCAATGTCCCTCTCTATCTCCTACTCTGTTTGCTACATACATCAATGACTTTCCCTTCCTGATCCATCACTCCCATTACCATATCTATGCAGATAATTTTCAAATATGCCTGTCCTTCCTGCCTTTTGACCTATTATCAGCCACAAAAAAACTTCAAGAAGGCTTGAATAGAATCTGTGAATGGGCAGGAGCTAACAATCTGAAGTTGAATACAGAGAAGACGATGGAAATCCTAATAGGCTCCAATCACCTCTTTAAGACTGTTCCTAACATTCCAACCCTGTTCCTACACAATAATCCCATCAAATTTTATTCTACCATCAAGAACCTTGGAATAACCTTTGATCAGACCCTTTCCTGGAAAACCATGTATCCAATATCTCCTGCCATACCTTTTTGACCTTAAAACGTCTAAATTACCTGCGTCACCTTCTTCCTTTCGAAACCCGTATACTCCTGGTCACCTCCTTAATATTTCCTCACTTTGACTAATGCTGCACGGTATATGGAGGCGTCTCTGAGGATCTCGATGCGAAAATAAAACGTTTGATGAATTGCTTTGTACGATTTATCTTTGGAATCACAAAGGACATCTCTGTATCTTATCTCTATGAGAAGTTAAAGAGGCTATATCCTTCCTACTGTTGTAAGTATTTCCTGTCATCCTTCCTCTTTCAAATCATTCACTTCGGCAGCCCCTCATACATCTCCGAGCTCAAACAATTCAAATCCTCAGTTCACTCCTGCTATACGCGTTCCTGGTCTTGAGATTTATACACAATGGCCCACCAAACCCCTGCTTTTGATAGATCCTTCATTATTCGTTCCTCGAACCTATGGAACTCCATCCTTCCCTATTTCCATCGCACCAATACACTCTACTTTTAAATCCAACCTTTTCTATCACTTCCTTTCCATCCAGTCCCCATAAAATTGTAAATAAATAATCCTGTAAATATGTATATACATTATTGGTGTGTTTTCAATAACTTCATTTTGTTTCTTTCATTTATTTTTCTATTTTATGTTACCTGATTAAAGTTAGAAGGTAACTTTACTTTTTTTTTTTTTCTAGATTATATTTATCAGTTTAAATTGTAAATATAATTGTACATCTCTAAGGCTCAAAAGTCCACATTTATGTTCTTATTTATTATTTAAAGGGACTTGTCCTAGAATAAATAAAGTATTATTATTATTATTATTGTTATTATTAAGTACATAATGTTGTGGTTTTATTTGGGAAAAAATCATCAAATTATTCACTGATTTTATTTTATATTACTTATTGATTTTTCGGAACAAAAGGACTATGTATATCTAATTATTTAAATATATTATCGAATCTAAAGTTATTAAACTAATGTAAATTTATTTGAAGTCATAACAGATGTTTATAACTAAAAATCCAACCACAATTGCTACACTTAAAGAGAAGTCAGCGATTTTTAAGAGGGAAATCAATTAAAGCAAAATGCACCTCCTTCAGAAAGTTTTCAAGCAAACTTAATTTTAGCAAAGATGGAATTTACACTCATGAATTCACTATAAGACAAAATAATCAAAACTAATAAAAAAATATTCTGTTTAACAAAGGTAAACTTATTTTAAACCTCATCTGAACACACAACTTCAGCCAGTCTGTTGAAAGCTGTTACTTTCTATATACTTAAATGAAAGCGACGAAATTTAAAGTTTTATTTAATGGAAGAAATTTTAAAATCATGTTAAGAATGTATCCCTAAAAGAGAATTCACTTTGACCGATGATGTACTTGGTTCCATTTTGACAATTGACAGCATCAAAGTCATCAACTTAGTCCAGTACAATGATAGTTGAATGTGGAAAAAATTCAAATAGTCAGTTTCAATTGGATTGTTTATGTTTTTGGGGATGTTGCATCTAAATTTTAAATTCCCAAATGAAATCCTTCATGGCATTTTGAGATATATGCTAAAAACAACAAAATTTCCACACTTTTTTTTTATTTTTTTTGCCACAACTCCAAAACTTTGCATTTTATAGAAATTATCATTCTATACAAAGTTTAAAAAGTTATAATCTACTATAAATTTTATAAATAACATTTTAATGTAGGACCAATGGATGAAGAGTTAGAGTTGTTGACTCTTATGTTTATTTCACAAAAAATAGCCGTATTTGTCAGTTTCCTCATAAAACTCATAATCTACGCATCTCTCGGAGAAATTTATTATAATAAATTTGAAAGAGCATTACATTTTCTATATACCTCATGTATATACGTTAATATATGAGAAGGTAATCGGCTGCTAAGCGCAAAAAATTGAAGGCACATTTCAGCCATAGCATCTGCCATACTCAACTTAAGCACTTTTAATCTCTTCAATTAGTTTGATTCAGCTAATTAAACTATATTTATAACATAACTAGAATGTATAAATAAATAAAATATCTTTTATATTTTCTGTTGGCATGAAAGACATTAACATTCATAACAATAAAAAAAAATTAAGCTTTCAAATCCAAGAGCTCTAATGGCTTTTCACTTTTTTATTTATTAACAATCATACCCCGACCTCAATAGAAAATCTGATGCTCTTTCAATTTCATTCAAGCTAATGTTGAGTCGTAATAAACTGAGTAGGCAAAAATGCCATTGGATCTCAGATTCAAAAATTTTCATGATTGCAATACTTTCCCTTAGTATATTTCACATATAGAGGTAAATAAAAGTAAAAATTAAGAAAATTATAAAATATTTCAAGACAAAAAACCTCATAGTAGTTTGAGCTAGTTGTGTGATCGCAAATTCTGGATCTTCCACACCGTAACTTGCAAGATATGCATCCAATATTCTTAAGTACAGGACACCATCAATATTTAAAGTAACATTATCTAGACAAAAAACATATTGACACAGATTAATAAACATTAATAAATTGACACAATAAAACAATAATATATAAAAAAATTTAATATCTAGCATACTAATTTGGAGAACTTGACTGGAGTAATGAATTAAGAAAACTTAATTTGGAGAAGTACACTGTAGAATCTGCAAAAAGGATGGACGCCTGAATATCTGCATCCAAGAACCTCGTCATGCCCTATTGTGACAAGCTAGGATTTCTAGTTATCTACCAAACGACGTCAAGAGCAAAATAGTTGACTTGCTTGCGGTTCTCTCTAATTTGGGCCAAGGACGCTGAGCTCATCGAAAGTACCGGATCCATCTCTACACTTGGCGAAAGGATGTCATCAATAAGCTCATCGTTGAGAGTTTAGAAACTTGTCCAAAATCACAACCACCAGATTAATATAAGAAAGTTAAAATATTATTAAAATAAAAAGTGATCTATGTGTAAAAAAATATTTTTTAGTTTTAATTAGTTAAAATGTAATTATTAAGATTAAGCATTCATTTAATATTAAAAATAAATTAAAATGTTATCAATTTCAAACTCGAACAATGCCAAACTTTGTACATAAAACGTTTCATTCAGTTCCAGACTCGGCATTAAACGAATAGAATCCATTTTAAAATGAATAAGACCATTAACAAATGAATTGGTCTTACACCATGAATCGTTGCATTGTTCTATGAACTATTTTTTTTAACAGCTCTTAAGAACTGTTCTTTTTTTGTCAACGAACAGTTCATTTTCGTTTTTTCAAAAGTAGTAGAAACACACACCTCTAATGTGGATATGTATATAATATTATATCCCATATTATATTAAACTGTTGTTACATATGGAAGCCTGTTCTAATCTTTCGGGCGACCTCATATTTCTTTAGTCCCTCTATTACAACCATTCTCCATTACAATCTCTTATTTCTCCTTTAATTAATTATCATATTCTTTCATATTTAACTATTTTTTATATACATTAGTTAAGAGTTTTGAGTCTTAGCTAAGGTGAAATGGAAACTTCAATTAGGCAGGGATTTTGTTTGTTCCCTATTGCGAAAGTATCAATAGCAATTATTACCAAAGTCAAAAGGAAATGACCACAACTCAATTTGTTCATATCAGACACCCATCCGATTTCAGCTTCCATCTCTACTAAACAAAGCTGAGTCTCAAAGCTCTGAGGGATGCTTTCCAGTGAACATTTTTCTAAATAAATTGAGGAGTTGAGCAGCAAACATGAATCCTCGGTGTACAGCAAATACTTCAAATGGAGACATAAAGCACTGAATATCCATTCTTAGCAGCCTTTTTGATATCAATCCTTTATATGGCTGCTTAATTTTGCATATAAAATTATTAAGTCAAAGATAAACAATACTCCAGAACCTAAGAGATTGCATTCCGTGGAGAAACACAAAAACTTATAGTCACTCAGAAAATGTTCAAGAGGAATAACAAAAAAAATTAAGCAATAGGTAAAATGGGTTAAGTGAAATCTCATAAAGCATCCGTAATGATATATTTCTTCTTAATTTAACCCAGATTGCTATTATTATTAATATATATAAAAAAAAACTGCAACCCATGGAGGAGGGGCTTGGGTTCAGTACTTCATAAGGAAGTACTGTTTCTGGGTAAATGATTATGTAAGGAGGTGATTTGACCGAGATCATGCCATGCTCATCTCTAATTCTTTGTAGGTTTTCCCTCTGATTAATCATAGATGATGGATGGGCCCTTAAAATTTAAACTGGTGGAAGTTGCTTAACCTGTTTACCCTGAAATGCCCTCTTTAATTATGCAGCATATAACGGGCATGAATTCTTTCACAAGGACGTGTCAGTAGGACAGGCCTGAAGGACGTAATTTCATATTATTTTTTTTTATACTTCAAATAAATGAAAAAAATATGAAATATATATATATATTTTTGTTTATTTACATATAAAGCACAAAGAAAAATACAAAACTACAAATAAATAGAAAATAATACCAACAAAAAAATGAAAACATCAAATTAAAAAATTATAAATTTTACAAACTAAAGATAACAAAAAAATGTATATTTTTTATTTAGATACACAATAAAAAATATTAAAAAGTTAACAATTACAGAACAATAAACTTAAAAAGAAGATTCATGTTGAGACATGTATGGATGACTAATACCTTTGCTGTTCGAAAATACATGTCCCCCCCACCCTCCGTTCCAGGGCGCAACATACATTTCATATGTCCTACCTGTACCCAATATTATTTACATTTGACGTATTTATGAATTACTGTAAGCTCGGTTAACAGGTTAAGGAGGCGAAGACCCAGAGAGAAAGATGAGATCCAGGAAGGTCTCACAATCCCAGGGTCAATCCACAGGTGATGTAACAGAATGAATAATTATCTCCTGCATCCAGACTCAAAACCAGGATTTGGAGCATAGGAGAACAGTGTCTCATTCACTGAACAACCCCAACAATATATTGAGGGATGATGGGTTAATATTATTGAAGATTTCAAAACTAAAATAACTCATAGGAGAAATCAATTGCTTTAAAATTAAAATAATAGATAAAACATATGAAAACCTATAGTTTACTCACCAGCAGTTATAGCACTTTGCTTAGGAATATCTATGGCCATTTCCTTCAGGCTTTGCACATATTTCACAGAATCAACAACTGGTAACAAAACATTCAGTCCAGGTTCCAAAATCCTATGAAACTTCCCCATTCTTTCTACAACCCAAGCCTAAATTACAAAAACAAACAATAGTCTATAGAAACGTACAGTAAAATACAAAGAAAGTTAAGTATACCTTACCTCTTGTTGAGGAACAAACATTAAAACTGTATTAATGGGTGTAGTTGATCTGTGCCGAAAATGTCTCCAATTGCTAAGCTTGATCGAAAACAAAACCTTAACAAAATAAAACCAAATAAATAATGATAATGCTATAATCATAATATGACAAAAATTACATTTAGGAATTGTTAGACAGTAATATGGCAAATTTAAATGACTCATCAACCTCTATAAATGACCAATGGCCAAAATTATATTAGCATATAACAAGTGCGAACATATCTTTTTTCACTCTTCCAAATGTAACAAAATCCCAAAAAATCTTAAGAAATTTTTAACTAATAGAGTATAAAGCTAAACCACTGCTGATATATTAGAGGGACCGGAAAGTAGGGTCGTTTCTGAGCATGTCACTATTTGATTGCCATTTGTGAGCTCATTGTGTTCAACTATGTCATGGCAAAGACATTTTAAGGTTAGAGTGACTTCTTTAGTTGCAAATAATTAAATTAAATTTTTTGTTGTTGCAATATTTAGTGAAATGGACAGCCAAATACCAGAAAAAGAGGTACACATCCAGCATTGCATGCTTTTTGAGTTTCGCAAGGGTAGTACTGCAACAGTTGCTACCAAAAACATTTGCGATGTATATCTAAATGTTTTAAACATTCATAAATGCCAAAGGTGGTTTTCAAGCTCAAATCCGGGAATTTTGATTTTTTCGACTCTCATCGATCAGGAAGAACAACAAAGTTAGACAATGTCGCGTTAAGGGCAGAAGTCAAAGCACATCCTGGTCAAACAATCAAGGCATTATTAAACAGTCTTAACCAACCTTGGCCGACCATCCAAGAACATTTGCAGCAGATTGGGAACCACCACACGCAACTAATTGCTTCAACAGCACAATACAGAAGTGTTTATTGATCGCTTGATCACCAGAGACAAAAAATGGATTTTGAGTGACAATCCAAAACACAAAACGCGATGACTCTCTCCAAAATAATCGCCAATAAGTACTACTAAGCCAGGTTTACATCCCAAAAAGGACCCATTGTGTATTAGGTGGAATATTCCCAGTGTTACTCATTTTGAGGTGCTGAAAAAAAAAAAAAAAAAATAAGCTGAACCTGAAACCTAACTGTGAATGCAGTCCTTTATTGCGAACAGAAAATTGTCAACAGAAAATGTGTTATTCTGCTACAAGAAAATGCAAGATCGCACTGCAACAAAACAAGAAAAAATAAAGACAATCCCTGGAAAAAATTGCTGAATTAGGGTAGGAGATACTGCCTCACCCACCATACTTGCCCGATGTCGCACCATCAGATTTCCATTTGTTCAGATAGTTTCAACACTTTTTAAGTAGCAAAAGGTTTGCAAATTTAAACGATGTCCAAAATGCCATTTCTATATATTTTGCTCAAAAACCAATTGATTTTTATAGACCCTGCATTGAAAATTTGCACATTATAAGACAAAAGATTGTTAATAATGAGAGTGATTCCATCAATAATTAAAAATAGAAAAATTGTGGGAAATTTTTGTATTTGAATTCAATGCATGAAAATGATATTACTTTCCGGTCCTGCTAATATAGAAGGAATTAACAAATATTCTGCAGAGCTACAATTAGAAAACTGGATAATAATGCAAAATATTATTTTAGAGGTGGAAAATACTAGTCCAGGAGACCAAATATCTAGAAGGTATGTAAAGTCAACATGGAAAAACACTGAAATGTCACATCTGGATAATAGATTAATCAAGATCACATGAACACACTGCACACAGAATACCAAACCTAGCCTAAAGGGTCTATCTTTTCAAAGGTTAGATTACATTAAATTTTCAACATAGTAGTATTTTCAATAAATAGGCCAAGGGATATAAATACAAGAATCAGACACTATTTAGTAAAATACAATTTGAAATATTAAAGGCTATTTGAAATTTGAATATTATTTTCACAGATACATACAGGCACAATATAGATGTAGGCATTAATAGATCGAAAGTTTGATAAAATAGAAACAAATTATATAAAGAAGGGATAATAGGTCAGATATGTTAGGATTTCAGAAACAAGTACTAAATTAAGTTAAAATTCTCCATTCCACTCAAGTCAATAAAAATAAAATAAATTTAACAATTTTGTTTCTTATTTTTCTTGAAACTTGATTATTTTACTAAATGATTTATGTTTGTTTGCATTAGTTAAGTCATTCTTTACGGGATTGATTTTTCATGTTTTCTTTATGATTATTGTATTTAATTAATAATATGAAAAAGTACAGGTGTGATTATTGTCAATCGGGAAAATAAAAATAGTTTTTACTTCAATATTTAGCATCTAATATAACCTAAAAATTATTAATACCTCAGTTCACATAGTCATTTATTACTATTAACAGAAAGATCAAGAGATCAATCATCTAAGTATACTTTCAGACACTATCAACTAGTTTCGGCATTCCATGTAAAGTATATTTAATGTGATCTGGGCCCACATAACAACCAAATGACACTACTCTGGTTATTTTTTTTCCTCTTTACTTTATCCATCCATATTAAAAAGTAAATCTCTCATTAAAATGTTAGCACAAAAGCAACTATGTTTAATAAGGAAAAAATGCACCACTTAATTATTGGTTGTTCTACATAAACTAAGATAAAGATAACTAATCAGTTACTACACACTGATAAAAACGATTCTATAAGTAAGGTAACACATATGACCTAGCCAACTTTAAAGTCTTTGACATCTCTTATGCATGAGATTCAAACAAATATTAGCATAAAAACTGAACAGAATTATTCAATAAAACAATGGAACACAATTTTAGTGTTCTGTATATTAAACTAATTTCATAGTAAATTCTATCGAATTATTTCTCCATATCAATGAGATCATTATAAATGATATAACAACAAATTAAGAACGTGAAATATAAATATGAATAAATGGTGCTTTCATCGTTCTTACCTCCGAAGTCCTTAACGGAGTAGCTCTAAAAAAATACCGCTGAAACATCTCAAACTAGCAGTAGGTAGTAAAAATTAAAGACAAAATTATACACTAAGTTTCAATAAACAAATCAATGAACTTGTTCATGACAAAACAATAACACATATAAGAAAACTTCAATCATTGCATCATGATGTCGAACGTAAATGATATACAAACATTTGAATGTAGAGTAAACTTCGAGGAGGTTTCAGAGTGGCTGTATATCAGTGTTGGGTAAAATTTATCTTAAAGAATAGATAATAGATAACGAATAATTTATTAGAATTTTCGAGTGAAAAATAGAAAATCATTTCTTTTAACTTTTGTCTTATCATTTTATTCATTATTTGAATTTTTCAAATAAAAGTTCCAATAAGTTAATTGTAAATTTCTTATAGCAATTTTATTTTTTTTATAGAATTGTGCAATTGCTCATCTAATATTTGTAACTTTAAAGATGTTATTGATATAAGGGTCAACTTTTATGTAGTCGGGAGCACTTTTTATGAAAATATTGTCGGATTTAAGATAGCGCATCGACTTTATTGATATTTTGATAGGCCTCTTTTGAAGCTCTCAGCAGCGAATGGTTTTTAAGAAACGAGTTACCAAAAAGAAACCGAATTTCATAAAAAAATGACGAATCACGATTCAAGAGATAAAATTGACCTATATTAAAAATGTTCAGTAGACGCGAAATTCGATGTTCTACTACTTTGATTATATGAGTTTTTTCTCGTAGGGAACTCAGTTCTAAGCTGCAGGATCATTTATTGTGGTTTGTTTCAGTTTTTTTTTTTTTCGATGCACCGTTTAGAAGTTATAGTTGAAAAAACAAAAACAAAAGTTCGAAAAAATATGGGTTTTTTGGTTGTAAAAACTTTTCCCTTGGTTACTCGCGTTAGCAATATCGGTTTTTGAATGTTTCGACCCATTTATGCAAGTTAAGAAAATAAACACTTTTCCACAGTTTTGGCAATATATTTCCCGTTTCGATCCTGAAGTTACTGGCCTGGCATTCTTTAAATCAGCCGTTATTTTTTAAAATAGCAGCTCTTGAGTGATAGACAAAATTGATTTTACTTAGAATAGCACACCTTTTCGTAATTTACATTCAAACCTTTGCCTGCAATGAGATCCATTTTTTGGGCAATATCTCTGTGGCTTTGAACTTTAAAACCGTCCAACATTCGGGTTTCTAACACTGCTCCCTCTTGAATTCCTGATAGCCCTCCGATGCATCTGAAAAGAAGATGGCCTCATGATCTTCTAATGTAGAAATTATATTAGAGCCCTACCAATAGGTAGTTTCTTTACAAGTCTATTCATGTCTTCTTCTTCGTTCTTCCAATTAAGTAGTCACGTCCGGTGATAAGAAAATAAGAAAATCAGCTGTTCTCCTGAGGCCCTCCAGTGTCCCATAGAATTTGATTTTAAGCGATTTCGGCTCAGGCCAAATCTTCCTTCTAGCCTCCTCAAGAATAACGTAACTCTAAAGAACATAGACTGTTTGTTCTTCTTTACCAAACTTACACAAGGGACTTCTTCCAATTCTGAAATTTTTGTAACGTTGAGAAATAATCTGTTGTGGTTAGCTTTGAGTCTGAATAGCTTGGTCTTTTCTATTTAGTTTGTGGAAGGGGTCTTGGGGATGGCTGTGAGGATGTTAGGTGACCTTTTTCTTGTAGGCAATACGGGCTGTAGCAGCAGTATGCGTATGCCATGGCAGTATACGTCAATTTAATTACTATTTTGTTAACATTATTATTTATGAGATGTAGACTTGTTTGTGTGCACAAGCCCACACTTTTCTTTTTCTCCATTCTTCCACCTGAAACCGGTCCTCGCAGCAGCTGTAGCTTGTCTTAACTTCCGTATCTTCTTCCCAGATTAAAATGTCCATACAGGTTACTGGGAGTTTCATACTTCTGGAGTTGCTGGAGAACACTCGACCACCACACGCTGTCAAATGCAGAGGATATGTCGAACAGGAGAAGCATAACATACCTCTCCGCTCTTTTTTCTGCTTCATGACGTACTTGCAATATGGCATCTGCGGTTACCTTGCCTTTAGTGGATCCATATCGCCGTGGATGACTCGATCTTGATAAGACTGGCCGAAGGCTCATGACCAACAGGTTTTCCAATACCTTGCTCATTACAGGAAGCAGACAAACGGGCCTGTATGATTTGGCAAGTTGTTTGTTTCTTCCTTTGTTTCGTGACCCATCTTTGTCTAATCGCAGCTTTGTTTATTGTTCTTTACCTTGTCCGGTAAGTCGAAAATTCGTCTATCATTGAAGAGATCCAATCTTTACCACTTTTTCTGCTTTCTTGTTCTTATTCTTCCGCCTACCACAGTGTGCAGGAATCCGTTGCAGAACGAATTTTTTGCTAATGTGGTTTAGCTTCTCAAATTGTGATGTCAGTTCATAATCCCTGATACATGTAGTTCATAAAATGCAAACTAATTATAAAAGTTACCAAAAATTGATTCAAATAAAAAATAGGCTATTTCTGTGAGTTAAAATATATAACTCGATTTGAAATCATAGAAGATCCAAATCCTGAAGGGAATAAAAAGTACAAATTACTTCCTTTGTGAAGTCAAATGCTTTCCTTTAGCAGACTACAGCAGATAATAATAGTATCAGAGAATTATAGATGGAGCCAAATAATATTAAATGAAAAATGTAAAACCATATTGGGTCGTTCCAAAATTATTAAATTCCAAACGGATTTCTAAAAATACACAGGTACACTAGTAAATTAAAAAGGTGACTTAAGTAAATTTAATAATTTGTGAGTAATTTACTTACATTGTGATGATGATAATACAACGTTTTTTTGTTTTGTTTTTCACGGAGATGCCTTAGAGACCATACAGAATATCATTAATGTTGGTTCTTTTCTTTTTTTGTTTTTCCTTTCCTTCCATTTTCTCTCATTATCTCTGCGTACTTTTATTTTCTTTCTTTTATCCACGCAACTCTTTTTTTCGAATTTTTCTTTCCGACAAGAACCTCGATTTTCTTCAGTCTTTTCCTACATCTTTCTCCGTCCAAACAGTTCTGGTCCGTTATTCCTAGTCTTGCAGTTTCTTCTTTTATCTGCTTGGTGTATCCTTCTGAGCTTTTCTATCCTCGGATTTTCTGGAATATTTCCTTGTTCAATCTTTTAGGAGTCATTCTTACTATATGTCCGTGAAATTTCAGTCTCCTGATCCTTATTTCTGTTTCTAGGTCCTTTGCGTCTTTATTGATTCTTGGTTGGTTCTTAGCCTGTATCATTCTTGTGTCTTTTTGAGGCCGTAGATCCTTCTTAGGACTCTTCGTTCAATTCTCAGTAGTTTTTCCAGACTGAGGAGGCAAGTGGCTTCCGTCCCGTATAATATTACCGGTTTAACGACTATGATGTAGTGTCTTATTTTCGCTTTTGTAGACAGGTTTTTCTTGTTAAATACGTTACTGGCTGCAAAACTTGGACTCTCTAGTTTGGTGATTCTTTCTTTCATACTTTATTTTTCCGAACCGTTGTTACATATAGTCTCGCCCAGGTACTTTTTTGTTGCTTTTATTGGTCCGTATTTGATTTCTACTGTTTTCCTATTGAAGTCTATGTCTGTAGTCATTGCTTTTGTTTTTTCATATGAGATTTGTAGACCTGTTTTTTTTTTCCCCCTATTTCTGTCAGTGTGTTTATTTAGTCGATCGCCTCTTCTTCCGTTTCCGCTAAAAGGGCAACGCACCTTACTTTGAGGTGGTTGTTCTTGGTGCACCCGTACAAAGGTTTATTATTTAACAAAACAAACTTCTACAGAATCAAATAATATGGTCTTGGAACATGTTAGTAAATGAAAAAAATAATTATTTTGGATTGCGTTGAATCACATTGTTTATTAAATTTACAATTAAGATTCAATTACTTTACAGTATAATCTGTTTATTGATTTAAAAAAATATTAAGCAGTTCTAAAGATAATACACATAGACAGCATAATAAATCATCATTATGAAAGATTTTTTTTTTTTTAGAAACCGATATTGTTATTGTGTGTATATATATATATTTATATATATATATATATATATATATATATATATATATATATATATATATATATATATATATATATATATATATATATATATAATATGTACATTAAAAAGGTTGATATTAGTTTTTAAAAAACAGATAATACCTATGACCTAATAACTGTAAACTTAGTCATTATTTTATAAAATATGGCAATCAACATTTGAAAAATAAATACTCCTAGAATTAAATTAAGGTAATATAGAATGAATAAATAAAATTACGTTTATCTATTTTATAATTATTAGAATAATTGTATTATGAAATTAGTATTATACAATAAATTAAATAATGGAATACAATCAAAATAATTCATGAAATAACGAAAATATTTTTAATAGCTTAACAATTCTACTCACATGGACAATTAAATTTTCAAAAATGTACATTCATCATCTAAATGAGCACAAAGCAGTAATTCATTATATTTATATAAGTAGTTTTTATAAAATATAATTAGTAAATTGGGTACATCTCAACTACAGAAAAGACTGTTAGATTTATAAATTCATAGTAGAACTAAGTGAAAACACTGAATGGCTTTTGAATTTAATCTTACAATTTATAATGAAAACAAACAAAACCTACAATAATCTCTACAATTTTTACAATGGTAGTTTGAATAAACCCAATAAGTTTATTTCTAAAAAAACAAAATTACAACCGTTAACTCCCCAACACATTATTTTCATTCCATAAGTAATTATATCAAAGCCTCAATATGCAGTCATGTAAAATCAAGAATGAGTGGGGCTATGAAAAACCTCTTAATTTTAATAAAATTCATGAAGCAAATATTATAATATATTTAATGTCTATTTTTATAATAACTGCATAATTCATTAAATATTTTACCTTATTTGCTGTAAAGCCAGCCCAATTAATGATTGTAAAGATTTAATATTAATAAAGGGTTGTTATAAATTAAAGCATTCTTTATAAACTTACAATTAGTATTTAGCTATGCATAAATATATACAATCTTCTTTATTTTTTATGATATTTAAAAAAAAAATGAATCGTACTATGGTTAACATTGGATAAATCGTAATCAATCATAGTGGAATAATACAGCTTAATTTTAATTAGTGCAATAAATTATTGCACCTGAGAAGTAAATTATTGCACTATAATCATGAATCTTAATCTGAGCAAAATGATCTTTTTATACATAGAATTGGGTTTTCATTTTTTCAATGTCTGTGGTAGCCACTGTAGCTTGTATCTATCGATACTTCTTGTTTTAACTTAGATGGTAGATCCTGGTAAATGTCTTCCGGTAAGTTGTCTAAAAATGAATCAGACAGCTTATTAATACTGAAATATTTTTCTTTATAAATATGTTATGTATAAATTAGTGTATAATATTGGAACACAATAACCAATGAGAACTTTTATTGATAATGTAAAAAAAAAAAAAAAAATGATCATAAAGTTGAAAGATTTCAGAATACATTTACTTTTTTCTGAAGCACAAAAATATATATTCCTTCAGTTTGACATGTTTTTTTCCTCAACATGCTCTTTTTTGATTTGTTTTTCACCAACAATAATTTAAATGACAAAATAAGTAAATCAAAAATAGATATTTTCTAGTCTGTGTGCTTCCAATGAAAAAAGATTGTTAAATGAACATTATTTATTTTATTTTTAAATTTCTTTATTGAATTTTATCACATTTTGTCACAATTAATGACATAGTAATAGTGATACAGGAGTTTCATTCACACCATATGTACAATAAATAAAAATATATTAAATGCAATAACAGAAAAATAATAAACTAAAAATAAATATATACATTGCACTAACAAAAAAGAAACTAAAACTAATCACAATAACAAATAAAATACAGCCATATCAATATAAAATATTTACAAACATTCATTCAGATGAACTCCGAGCCTAGTCTTTCCTTCCACAGAAGGGAAAACAGGACTCAAAGAGATATATGGGCCTCTCTGCCCTGTCACCGATATTAATGACCAGTGGAAGATGAACAAGGGCACTATAACCACATACATACATAGCTTGAGTACAGAATCTGGCTATTGCCAGAACTCCATTATGTGCATATTTACAAAAGGTCTCTGGGCTACTGCCACTTCGACCTTCAAGGAGGATTGTAAAAATAGGTGGAGATAGTGATTATGCAAGAGGATTTGGATGATATGTAAGGTTCTGATGAAATTTATAGAACATCTAGGACAAATGAGATATTAAGGTCATGGGGTTGGTTTTTGTTGGATACATAGAATAGAGCATCAACTATTGTTCAAAGGTCTTTGGACTGAAAGGATTGGATGTGTTTGATGTTTGTAAATTTCGCTGTTCCCCATAGTTCTACTCTGTAGGTTGGAATAGGTTTCAGTGTTGTCTTGAAGATCAGTAATTTGTTCTCAATAAAAAGTTGAGATTTTCTATTCAGTAGTCTATATACCACGCCATATCGTTGGTTAAGCTCTTGACTTTTAAGTCTAGTATCTGGGTTCCACGTTAGTCTTCGGTCAAAGAAAAAGCCAAGACATCAGACTGTGTCTGCGAAAGGAAGCTGGATGAAATTAAAATGAACTGGTGGGGAGGATTTACGTGGCAGTGCAAAGGTAATGAATGAGTTTTATTTGGATACATCTACTTTAAGGTGCCATTTATAAAACCACTATTTAATCAGGAAGACCGGGCTTTGTAAAATTAGGGATACTGTTTCGAGATCTGATTTGGATGATAGAATTGTCGTTCCATCCGTTAACATTGTAAGCAAAGATATTGGGATGAACAGGTATGTCAGAAGTAATGAGGATGTAAAGTTTTGGACCCAAGACCTTGGACAACACTGGTTTTAACTCGATAATAATAATAAAAAGCTTAGCGAACCCGAAGGTTCGATGCCGACACCGCCAATCACCTATTACACACCTCCCTCCGCCGTTCGCTGTCCAAACCCAGTCCCTTTAGATCGGCTTTAACGCAATCTTCCCTCCTTCGCTTCGGTCTACCCTTCGGTACAAAAAATATTAACCTTTTAGGAATTCTTTCGTTACTAAGCCCATTAATTTTACAAGCCCATTCGATTCGCCGCGATGTAATCACCTCAATTATATTAACCGGATACAGTTCGCGCAATTCGGCGTTGTATAACCGTCTGAACTCTCCGGTTAACTCACCCTTCCTCGGCCCGAATATTCTATGCAATACTTTATTTTCAAAAACCTAAACACGTTGTTCATCCCTTAATGTAAGCGACCACGTTTCGCATCCGTAAAGAACTGTAGTTAAGATAATAGTTTTATAGATTCTAGATTTTAAGTTTCGGGACAAGAGGCGCGAGATAAGTAGTTGTGTCACAGAAAAATAACAAGCATTTGCCGCCTTCAGCCTAACCTTAATCTGCTCTTCAATTTCGTTTTTTTCTAGTTATCGTAGACCCCAGATACCTAAACTTCTCTACATGTTCAAACATATTACCTTCTATATCGATATCACCGGTAATATTGCCATTTTTTTCAACTAACCATATATTTTGTCTTATCCGTGTTTATTTCAAGCCCTAGTTCTCTACCGGCTTTCATTAACGTTGTTGTATTTAGTTTCCGTCACTTAGCTTAACAGGACCAGATCATCCTCATTGCCAATCACGGGTGTTATCTCACCCAGATCCAACCCTTTTCGGTTCGCATTAACTCTCTAATGGCATGTTCTAATGACAAATTGAACAGGACAGGTAAAAGTGAATCACCTTTTTTTAAACCTGATCGAACCTCAAACTTTTCGGATAAATAATTACCGATTCTAACTTTATTCAGCGTTTCCGTCAAGCACATCCTGCTCGATTAGAATATTGCACAGTTTCTGGTGGTCAATAGAATCGTAAGCCTTTTGGAAATCAATATACAGCTAGTGAACAATACCATTGTACTCTAATTTTTTCTCCAATATTTGCCGTAAAAAAAATGTTTCATCAATAGCCGAAAGATTCCGTCTAAATACGCATTGGTAGTCTCCGACAATTTCTTCGGCGTATTCCGTGATTCGACTAATTAAGATTATAGTGAATATTTTATAACATACCGGAAGGAGTGAAATTCTTCGATAGTTATTAAAATCCTAACGATAGTTAGGATATGGTTATATCCTCAGACCCCTTTTGTGAATCGGAATTAGAATAAATTCTTTCCATTCTTCAGGTAATTTTTCATACTCCCAGATCTTCTTAACCAAGAAATGTATTTTAGAAACTCCAGCTTTCCCGCATTCCTTAACCAGTTCATTAGGAATATTATCGGTTCCCGCTATTTTATAAGATTTTGAATTTTCCGATAGCTACTTCAACTTCCTCTCTATTAGTTTCTTCTATTAACGGTCCAACACTGTGGTACTCAGAAGGAGGACACAGATCGTAATTTCTCGTATTTGAAATATTGTCAAAATGGTTCTTGAACTTATTTAATATTTCTACCGGATCGGTCAGAATACTGTTATTTACATCCCTAATTCCAGACGTGACGAGCCCTAAACATTTACGTGATCTGTTTACATCTTTGTACACAACTCTTGCGTTATTTTTTATTCTATTAGTTTCTATTTCTATTATTTTATTTTTAAGATACTCCCTTTTTTTATTCTTAAGTAATTTTATCGTTCCATTCTTCGAGGTTCGAAACTTATTTTAGATTGTCTTCTCTAGATTTTTCGCTGGTTTTAACTGGATAGCTACCGGAAAATGCTATTCTAGTATGGTGTACGGTGGACTCCCGGGAGATTCCGAGGCCAAACTTAAACGCCTAATGAATTGCGCACTACGATTTGTTTTCGGAATCTCAAGGGATACGCATATTACCCAGTATTACACTGAGTTGAGGTGGCTCTACCCATCCTATCGCCGTCAGTACTTCCTAGCCACCTTTCTGTACCAAATTATTAGAACCCATCGACCCTCCTATATTTTTCACAGCTTACAATTCAAATATTCCATCCAATCCCGTCCCACCAGATCTCGTACTTCCGACCTCTATCCTCCTCCTCACTGAACTGCTGCGTTTGACAAATCCTTTGCAATACAAGCCGCCTCCCTCTGGAATTCCATCCCAGCTGATATTCGACACGCTCAATCAGTTTCCTCGTTTAAACCACTCCTCTTTAAGCACCTACTCCTTTCTCAATCCGAATGATTGTGAAATATATCTTAGAGAAATATCTGAGCACCACCAGAGACTACCTCAATTTATTAAGGTTATTTTAGTTTCTCATACATATGTACAATTTACTTGTTCTTTTTTTTCTCTTTTCTGTATTTTTATCGTAAGTCAACTTTCATTGTAAATATACAATTTAATTGTAGTCACACAGACATATAATCTGTATTCATATTTTGTTCTTAAGGGACAACAGTCCCAGAATAATAAAACATTTTTTTCATTTTCATTTTCATTTCATTTTCATTCATTTCATTTCTATAGCGAACTTGAAAGGAACGGTCAGAAAGGTAGGATCGAATGACTAAGTACAAGAACTGGGGTAGATAGATTTTAAGTTTGAAGAGCAGCCCGGTGTGCCATACCTGGCCAAATGCCTGAAATGCACATTATAGGGGAAAACAAATTATTAATCACATTCTACTGCTTACAACGTTCATTAACATATCTTTATATAATCACACCGTTTGTGTCTTATATTAAATAGAAACAAAAACATTTAATACATCTAGTCCTGCTGTAAGTTCTGTTACAAGAAAAAATTGAAGAGCCAAAATGTACTTCTTGTGGTAAATTGTTAACTGCTTTTACTCAGGCGATAAATTGGTTCATGCGCCATGTCAATGTGGATCAAGGGTCACTAATGGAGCTTATTGACGGTTTAGTAGGAGGTAAACATTGATAGTAGCACAAACCTTCATCTTTGGGGTGATAGCATCAAAACCCAAGTTAAAAAATAGAAGGAAGATATGTTAGAGCTTGCATTGAAGCCCCTTAATAGCAATCTCTGGGCTAGAAAACAATTGGTTTCCAACATGATTCGACCCCTGCCTTTAAGGTTTGAACAATCCAGGTATGGTTAGAGAACAACGTCCCTGAGTTCATTAAGGCTTCAGGCTATCCAGATTTGAACCCAGGGGATTTATAACTATGGTTGCATATGAAGTTAAATGCGTTACCACTGAAATGAACTGTCAAAATTCAATCTGTATTTGATTTTCCCAACTTTTTTCTTACTAGTAGCTGAACTTATGGCAGGACTAAGGGTATATACTTATATACATATATATATATATATATATATATATATATATATATATATATATATATATCTGGAAGCCTCTTCGTAACAATGAATGCCCCAATAGAAGGCAAAAGACAATGTGGAAGCAGATGGATAGATAGAATCAACAAAGATGCAACAGAGCTGCGTTCAGATAAATGGAAAGAAATAGCCCAAGACAGGCAGAGATGGAGCAGGCTTGTTAAGGCGGCAAAAGATCTATATAGTCTGTAATGCCAACAGAAAAAAAAATTAAAATAAATAAATAAATATATATATATATATATATATATATATATATATATATATATATATATATATATATATATATATATAGAGAGAGAGAGAGAGAGAGAGAGAGAGGGTTGTAAATGATCAGCAAGTTTAGTAAGAAGGTCCATTGCAAAGTTTATTTATCTTCCAATAGGTAGCACTTCTAATCCTTTGTTACAATATACAACAACCATGATTGCCTTTCTCTGACCACTTCTCGTGTAATATTAGTAACATTGGTTCCTAACGTATTTAGAGGAGACAGATTAAAATTTAAGGTAATATGTATAAGGGGGAGGGATCTAACAAACTTTTGAAAAAAAAGATTTTTCAATTTTTGTTTTTGTTTTTGTAAAGTGAAAACAACTAGATTGGAGTTATAACTTTATAATTGGAGTTATAAAGTAACTATAATAAATTAGTAATCATATTATGAAAACCTTACCATTGCATCTATAAACTAAATCTGCCCAAATAATCATCTCTTGAGAAAAGCACAACACGCCCAGCCGTCCTCCTTTTAATGTTGAATCATATATATTTCCGGAATCAGCTACTAAATGTTCACCTTCAAATATTCGCAGACGGATTAGCGATATACGAGGTCGATGGATCAACAGCCAACGGTAAGCGGTTTTTTCTTTCCAGCCATCATTTCGAGGATCTTTCCAAAGTAGTTTAACCTGGAAGTATCAAATGAAAGAAATGAAACCCTTGAAGGTTTAAAAACAAAATATTATAAATTGTATTTATCATATGAATGTCATATGTATATATATAAAGATAATTACTTTGGAAGAAAAAGAAAGGCACTACCTATATGAAATGGTGTTTAAGTGGTTCTTGAAGTCTTTTTATATATAATTACATAAACAATAATACTTTTAGAGATAATTTTTTAATATTATTTTCATAAGACATGGTTATATTTTGAAGGGGGGTAGGGTAGCTCAGTGGTAGGGTACTGTGCTTCCAATGATAAAGGTCCCGGGTTCGAATCCCAGCTCATGGCAGAAAATTTATTTATTTGCTTCATTGGCCGTGGGGCGATTCTGGGTCGAGAGACCCTCCTGGGGCACACCCAGCCTCTATAAAGTGGGTACCCTTAATTAAATAATTAATTAAGGGGAAAACCTGGCGGTTGAGCGTGATCTCGATCAAATCATCTCCTTGCACAACCGTTGACCTAGAAACAGTGCTTTCCCTAAATAGTACTGAATCCAAGACCAAACAGTGCTTTCCCTAAACAGTAGTGAACCCAAGAGCCATTTTGAAAGCAACCCCCCCCCCCCCGGTGGCGTGGAGCAGCTTGTCCAATAGTGTTTGAAATAAGTCTTTCTCCAAATGACATGACAAGAATCACCCACATATAAATATCAAATTATAACTTATCATTAGCTGTTAGATACAAAAAGAAAAAGAAATTATATAAATAAACAAGAAATTTTATTGATTAATGAAATTTGTATATCCTCAATAAAAATTATCTCATTCAAACTTTATACCTGGTCTTGAGTGTCACCAGTATGCCACAATGAATTCCGAAGTAGCTTCCCAGGGCCAGTATTAGAGTTAACTAGTTTCATTTGAATTCCAGGTTCTGCTACTGCTCGAAAGGGATCGGCTTGCCAATATGTTTGTGTATTCTTTTTCCACATTACTGTGTAAAATTTATGGTTATTCTGGTAGCTGAAAATTTCAATTGAATAGGTAATTAAATTTAAATGTCTATTTCCATACTAAGACGACAATAAAGTAATATGCTTACCTAAAAACCAAACCAACATAATCATCATCTGTTTCTGTGTCAACGAAAAATGTACCTTCAAAGTCTACGCCACCAAACGCATCATAACCTAAAACATTTTATAAAGATTAATGTATTAGTCTAACCATATTATAGTTTGTTTGTCTCCTTTTAATCAGTGCATTCATATGTAAGCTAGAAGGATCAAAAGATGCTTCTTGTAAGCCCTATGTTTAAAATGAATTTTTGTACATGAATGACATGTTGGGAGGGGACAAATCAACTTTAAAATTGGATAATAAAATGTTAATATCTTATAAATAGCTTTGTCTTATAAATTTGATTTGATTTGAAATTTTAAAGGTCATAGGCCCACAGTAGGGATGGGAGGAGTGATAGATACCATCCGATATTAGAAGAGAGGGAGCGTGAATAATATATGCTGTCCCTCTCTCAAGTCCCGCCCTCCCATAATTTGAAGAACCAAATTTTAAAAAAAGAAATCAAAATCAATAAAAATTAATCTGCATGAATGAATAAATTATGTAAACTAAAATAAATTGGCTAGAATAAGGTTTAGAAGTACTTACATATTGAATGTTTCTATTGCGTAAATTTCCATTTATATTTATTGAACATACCAGACTCAAACGACAAGAAACCGCTCGACATTTCCGATTACTTTAGCACTTACTAGACAAACGCTCTAAACTTCTAATCAATTACAAAAGATTCATATACATGACTATAAGAAGGCCTATTTGGACTTACGGAGTTGGGCTATGGGGCTCCACTAAACCATCGAATATCTCTCATACCCAATCCTTACAATCCAAAACCCTTCGTATAATCCTCAATGCTCCCTACTTTGTTACAAATAAAACTATCCATAATGACCTTAATGTTTCTTATGTTTCAGATCTGGCCCAATCCAGATACCTATCCTTTCATAATACACTTCAGAATCATCCCGACCCTCTCGTTTCTAACCTTGCTTCCTCTTCAATTCCTGATAACCCTCCAAGACGTCTGAAAAGAAGATGGCCTCTTGATCTTCTAATGTAGACATATCATTAGAGTGCTATTATTGGGTAGTTACTCAGCAAGTGTTTTCACGTCATTATATCCATATTTTCAAATTTACTAGATGTATTTATTAAATACAGTTGTAAATATCATTAAGAAATAACAATAAAAAAAATGTATAGATCATAATATATATCAACATACTTTAGGATTTTATGATTCATTCCAAACTGCACTCCTCCATTTCCTCCATTTTCATGTGATGTTCGTATCACTTTTTCCATGACAAATTTAAACACAGCCCTTTTTCCTGTCTTAAACCTTTTCAAAGTTCAAAGACTTCAGATACTTCTTGTAGCAGGAAAAATAATTTAGGATAATCTGTATGTGCTTTCGTCAATCTCACTAATTTCTTTGTAATCTATTACAATTATTATTGATTATCTATTCCAAAGACAGTTGAGTTCCATAGAATCATAGATGGGTATGAAAACGACAAATAGGGCGGGCACATCCTGGACTTCTTATTGTTTTTCGAGCACCTGCACTATATTCCCTCCAGTGTGAATCCAGCTTAGTGCTCGTCTAATATATTTATAACACCTCTAATATCCTTATAACACGCCGTCACCACAGAGTCAAACATGAACTGATGAGAGAGATTACACCTGTTTCGAGGAAGTTTATTGTATAGATACGGATGGATCCACCCGATATGCCGACATTGTAGCATTCCCTAAGACGGGAAAGTCGGCGATGATTTTGGATCCTACCGTGAGGTATGAGACCAATGACCTCGATCAGGCAGGCAAAGTGGAAAGGAAGAAAAAAAAATCTATGAGAAATACATTCCTTTCCTTAGTGAAAAGTTCCGCGAGAGTTTGGGGGCGAGAGAGTTCTACGTGAGAGGTTCTCGCTTTTCAGGTTTCACTTTGGTTCGGCGCTCGCTGAACGATACCGAACTCAACAAGGAGCTTAATGGAGGGCCTTGGTGTCGACATAAAGGACGTGGCAAGGTTGGCGGAGAATATAATCCTCGACTCCCTGGGAATTATCCATCACCATGTGCATGGATAGAGAGAGAGTTTGTTCATGAGGGGAGGTATGCGTGTTTTAAAGCATTTTTAAATTATTTATTGACCACGCCCAATGCACTTTATGTATTTGTATGCATGTTATGAATTAGGTTAGGAAAAGAGAGGAGAAAATCTAGGGAATGAGAAAAATGTATAAGGGGAGAGAAGGGACGGAAAGGGATGTATAATGCTAATAAATGAATGAAAGAAATAGTAAAAAAAATTGATAAATAAAAATATAGGAAAAAAAAATATAATAAAAAAAATATATATATAGATAAAAAAAAAATTGTATACTTTGCTCATACATATTGTTAATACTACATAATTGTATATTAGTTTTGGAAAATTGTCTGTAGCGATTAATAAGTATGCTGTGTTTAAAGCAACCCAATGTAATTGGGCAGAACCCTTTTATGATAATAAAGTGATTCTCTCTCTACGGAGATTCTCAACACTTTTTGTTTTATTTATTAAAATAGAAAGTCTATGAAAAGGTGAATGAATCACCTATGACAAGGTTACTCTAGTTCTAGTGACGCGAAAGACGATTCAATACTGCTTGCTTGTTTGACAATAATTAATTTACTATCAAAATAGGTTCACCCCCCCCCTTATTAATCATTATCACAAAACAGTCATATACATACCTACTGCAAGACCTGGATCACTGTTCATGGTTTGAACTATTTCAGCACCTTTGTTGTAAATTTCCCAATTTGGATCTATTTGTGACTCCCCTTCTGGATCAAGCACCACAGTCTGAAAAGTTCTGAGACAAAAAAAAAAAAAAAATTAAAAAAATGTTATCAAATTATGTTCACTGTGGTAAAACTATTGGTTTGTCGCTAGATTTTCAAAGTATTTATACATTTCTGTTCAGTTTAATTCATAGAATTAAGCGCCAAAGTTTAGGGATGGGGAGTACGTACCTTTTCAATTAAACATGACATGTATTAATATGGTAATATAAGTTAAGTCTGAATAAAAAAAAAAAATCTGAAACAAATATAGAAAACTTACGAAACAATTATTTTCTCAATTTTTGTCAATCTGAAACTATTCAGTTATGCCTTTAACCTTATCAAAGCTTTTAACAATGATACGAACATAGATGCTGCTTGTTCTTTCCATTCAAATTTAGAATGATACCACACCAATTAATATAAATAGATTAACATAAAGGGAAATTACCTGAAATCTGTTGTAAATATCTTCGAATTATTCGGACAATTGTCAAGGTAATTGACAACACCATCGGCATCGAAATCATCCTGACATTTGTCTCCAACACCATTTCCTAAAAAGATGAAAATAGTTAGTTGATCGGGGTGTTTGAATGATTGGTTAGCAAGGCGTTTGATGTTGGTAGCACAGATACTGACATCACATTACCTATTTCTGGTAGCTGGACAGGAAACCAGCTCAGGGGGCGGCGTGGCCGAGTTTCGTAATAGTTTTAACATACTTTAGTTTTGCCGAAAACATTTTTTTTTCTTAACTTTAATCGAGATGATAATTTAATTGTCATTAAAAGTGACAATAAGGGACTTTTTTTCGAAATAATTTCCATTTTCAATAATTTGGCTAAAAACAAATATAGCGCCAACATCATGCTTTCTTTTTCAAATAGGAAGATGGAAGATTGAGGAGGTGCCATTTGGAAGTTGATGAGCCATATTTTAGAAATCAGAATGAACAAAATGTTTTTTTTTTTTTTTTAAGAGGTATCTAGGAAGCAAAGCCAGTTTCGTTTCTCCATCGATATATTTCAAAAACATAAACAGACAACAGGCTGAAGGTTAAAAAACATTTAAAAATTATTAAGTCTTATATTGTTACAATATTTGACGAAAAATTTGATGTAACAGTGTAAGAGTACATAAAAGTAATTCCAGAATAGTTAAAATTAACTTCACAACTCATTTATTTTGGAATTTCAAAAAATATCAAATCGAAATCGCCTGATTCGTAGTAAATTAAAATGCTTTGTATGCCCACGAAAATAAGCAGCAATCGTGGCATTTGCAGTATCAAAATTTTGGGGAAAGGGCTTCAGCCCAAAAGCTTATATATATATTTTTTTTTTTTTTTTTCGGTTGGCACTGCAGACCATGAAGATCTTGACCGATTCCCGATTTAAAGTACGGGGTAGGGTCATCAATCCTACGCCCGGTCGGTGTGAGTTGCCTCCAGTAGGCTGACGGGCTCACATACCCGGGGGGAGGGAATCTCGAGCAGCGTGGCTTTCCTTGGTGTGGGCGGTCACCCATACAAATGCTAACCACGCTCGGCGTTGCTTAACTTTGATTACCTATTGCAAGCGCCTCAGCATGGCGATATACAGATATACATATATACATATATCGATTATTACTTTGGAAGAAGAAGAAAGATCCTAACTATCTACATGAAATGGTGTTAAATAGCTTCTTGAAGTCCTATTAAATGTAATTAAACGAACAATAATACTTTTAGAGATTTTTTTTCATAAGGAATGGTTGTATTTTACCATTATGGGGAGGGCTTTAGCCGAAACACCTACCCCCCTCCCTCCCTTTTCCCTCCCGCGTAGATCCGCCTGCGGTTTCATTTGAACAAAAAAATTGATGCTAAACATTATACTTAAACGATTTCTAAAGGTGGATTATTTAAATGGAAATGATCTGAGGCAAAGGTGGCAAATATTAGTGGAGGCAAAAGTTTTGTAAAACTAGCAACCACATCAAACCATAACCACACATCTCCTTAATTATAATCAATTATCTACAAACCGCATGATTTTGCATTAGATCCTTTAAAATTAAAAATAGTGAATGTTTTAGAAAAATCAACCTCGAAAGCAGGGGTGCCCATCGATTTGCTTTCACTTCTATTCTGATGATGCCTGAATTGGCAAAACATTGACGGGTTTTTTTGCTTTGCCTGCATTTTAGAGACATAAGGCTTTGTGGTTGGAGCTTTTTTTCAATTATAACCTAACATTTATGTTCTTTTGGTGAGTTTTTATTGATTTATGTTTAAACAATTATTTTATTTTATTTCAATTTACAATATAAGATTGATGAGTTCACGAAAATAACTGCAGTAGAATCTGGTTCTGCTTAATAAGTAAATCGGTGGATATATTATAACTTAATATATTAGTTAAACACATAGTCGCAGGATTGATACTTACTATCAATGTCCAATTGATCAGGATTATAGACTAGTTTGCAGTTATCCTGATTGTTAGGAACACCATCATCATCTGCATCGGGGTCACATTCATCGCCTCTTCCGTCTCCGTCAGTGTCGAGCTGATCACTGTTTGCTATTTTAGGACAATTATCAGCCATATCTTGCACACCGTCCCTATAAAAAAAATCATAGGAATTATACTTAAAACCTTAAAAATTAATAATAATGTTTCAATAAATCTGAATTGTTTCCGAAGGCCAAACTATAAATCTTCTTAAGTAAGAAATTACACCGAAGTGTATTATCTCATAGATAACACTCAATCTGAAGCAGGCCCATTGTATTGTAGATGGTTTGTATTTTTGATTACTCAGGTTTGTTTTTTACTAAACCAATTTGGAATAAGTTGTTCAAGAATCACGTTACGTCGTTACAACGAAGCTTACAACTATAAACTCAACTTTAAGATGTCATTGGGTACTTCTTGATTTTTTATTTTTATTCTTTTTTTTTTTAATTGAAATTTATAAATGTAAACATATATACAACCAGTAAATTTTCTATAGGAATATATTACAAGAAGGTACTTGTGAAGAAGCTACCCATTGGTAACCCTTCAAAGATAAATTAATTTAGGAGGTCCCTTGGCCATCTTCTTTTCAGAAGCCACGGAGGGTTGTCAGGAATTGTGTTGAATGAAAGGTTACAAACTAGAGGATTGGGGTGACCAAAGAGTAATGAAAGACCAAAGAGGTAAATAAGATCAAAGACCAAAGAGGAATGAAAAGAAGTATATCTAGTTCGGGCCAAGTCTTCCACAAAAGGAATGTTGAGGTCGTTATGGATCATTTTATTTGTTACATAATAAGGAGCATTTAGGATTTTACGAAGGATTTTGAATTGTAAGGATTGGATACGGGAAGAATTTGATGTTTTTGTAGAGCTCCAAAGCTCAAATTCTTGATTTAAATAGTAAAAAGGGGCTCCACTAAACCATCGAATTCCTCTCGTATCCAATCCTTACAATCCAAAATCCTTCGTAAAATCCTCAAGGCTCCTTACTTTGTCTCAAATAAAAGCATCCATAAAGACCTTAATGTTCCATATGTTTCCGATTTGGCCCAATCCAGATACCTATCCTTCCATAACAAACTCCAGAACCATCCGAATCCTCTTGTTTCAAACCTTGCTTCCTCCTCGATCCCTGATAACCTCCGAGGTGTCTGAAAAGAAGATGGCCTCGTGATCTACTTATGTAAATATACTATTAGAGTGCTACCAATGGGTAATTTCTCAACAAGTATTTTCATGTGATTGTATTATTACTGTGTGCACATTTACTAGTTGTATTTTTTTTTTTTTTATAATACAGTTGTAAATATCAATGAATAAAAAAAAAAGAAGTAAAAAACTAGTAAGACTGAAAAAAAAGTAAACGTTTTTCAGTTCTTAGATAAAGGTGTTGCAGAGGAAAAACCAAGCAAGATCGGAGGGGTGATGTGCGAAAAGAGTGGCTGGCTGTCTTGGGGGCCAGATCTGAAGGATTGGGAAACACGGACCGGTAGATCACTATGATTGGAACATTTTACAGTTAACCAAAATAACTGACAAGCTATACAAATTGTTTACCTGTATTAAATTCACAAAAGAAAAAGTTAAATCTCTTAAAATAATGATAAGTTGCGTTACTACTACCCGAATTATAATATTCACAAAGGACTGATTTCAAAGCCAACAGTGGTAGAAGCGGATGGTTCGAAATTGACTCCTCATCTACTAACAGAGACGCAACAGTCAGTTCTCTCACAGCACTAACAGAAAGTTTTTAAATATTTGAAAAAAAAAAACATGTGAAAAGGTCGTTGGACTTTTCTCCTATCTCATTTACTCAACCCGCAGGAGAAAAATTAGAAGATAATAATAATAATAAATACCTGTCTCGATCGATATCATTATCACAAGCATCGCCAATGTTGTCAAGATCTGAATCAGCTTGATTTGGATTTGCCGTTTGCGGGCAATTGTCGCATACGTCACCCAGACCATCGCCATCTTGATCTCTCTGATCTGTATTAGCCTTTCGGGGACAATTATCATGGCGATTTATAATACCTGTAAAATGAAGAAAACGACATAAAGTATATTTTTCCTCCTTCAGATTTAGTATGTTGATAGCTAGAGACCGGATCTCCGTGCAGTAAAAATTCGGAAAACGTGCAGCATAAACCCAAAATATAAAAAATTGTATAATTAACAACTAAAAACATACAAAATCATATTTTTGTTCAATATATTATATTAATATATCGACAAATTTATATGTAAAATGAAATTTAGAAAATTTTTGAAATACATGAGATTTTCAAGCATTTAAATATTAGTGCGGGTGCTGTTTTCCTAGTACACTAAACAAATATTTTTGGGGCTTACACTCTTTTAAAAAAAAAATAACATTCAATTCTTAAAAATAAATATTCGTTGTTACCTACTCCACAATGAACGTCTATCTGTGATTACCTATCACATCTGATGGATTTTTTCATAGAACTCTCTCTTTCATAGAAGACAACTTTCTCATAATATTTTAACTCGGGATAATTTGATAACGAGAAACTATATCTTACTTTCAACATTATTAATTTTTTTTTTAATAATAATGAAGTTACTACAATCCACTTTATAGCCGGAATGGATACTGAAAAGCTGAAGAATTAGTGACATTTCAAGACAAAACAATTACAATAAATGTCTTTTTAGCAGCTCATTCAAGGAAGACATTTTTTTATTCTTATCTAATACTTAAGACAAGTTCTATTCCAAGAATACTCCCAACTTGTGTTTATTTCTTCAATTTGTTAAACGAAATTCGAACCATTGCAAGTCACAGAATTATTTATCTCCCTCATCTTAAATTATGAATTTAGTATGGAAAAGATCATCATCATCATCATCATAGTCATACTCCTCTTTACCGCCTATACAGTGTGAGGTTGCTTCTTGTAGAACTTGGACCGGGTGGACCTTTCCAGTACCAGCTCTCGTCTCCTGTTCCATTCCAAACCTCGCTTCTGGAATGCATCTCGCACGCTTTCTTCCCAGGAGATTCTGGGTCTTCCTCTTGGTCTCCTACCCTGCACGCGAGTCTCATATGTCTTCCGTGCGACTCTGTTCCGGTCCATACGGAGAAGGTGCCCAAACCATCTCAACTAGTGTTCTTCTATAATGGTTTCAACCGCTTTGGCGTCGAGATTGGCGCGGATTGTAGTGTTGCGAATTCTGTCTCGTCTAGTCTTTTCCTCCACTTTTCACAGGTATCGCATCTCTAGAGCCTGGATCTGGTTCCTATGTTTTGAAGTAAGTGTCCAGGACTCGGAAGAATACGTCAGTATAGGAAGGAATACTGATCTGTAGACTGTCATCTTCGTTTCCTTGGTCACCTCTTTTCGGTTCAGAAAGCCTTTCCTAATCGAGCCGAACATTCTTCTAGCAGCTCCTATTCTCTGCCTTACCTCCTCGTCAATATATCGATTTTCGTTGAGTTGGGCACCTAAGTATTTGAAAATGTTCACCTGCTCCAAAATCTCACCGTCGACCCTCAATATCCTCATAACCCTGTGAGGTTTTCTTCCAATGCGCATGCATTTCGTCTTCTCAGGGTTAATTTTCATATTGATTTTTCTTAAATCTTCCTTTTGGATATTAATATTGTTCTGGAGGTCACGGTCATTCTGGGCCAATATGACAAGGTCATCCGCAAAAACCAGCAGAGAGTATAGAGTAGGCTGCATATCTCTGTGACCCAACTGAAAACTTCGCATCTTCTGTTTTGCTTTTCCCAGCGCCAGATCGAGAACCAGTACGAAAAGAAGTGGGCTCAGGCTACAACCCTGTCGTATGCCCAGTGTTGTTTTGAACTCTCGAGAGGTATGGTTTCTTGTTCTAACAAGATTCCTCATATTTCCATATAAACTGCTTACGGCCCTTATAAGTCCATTATTTACACCTTTTTTCTCTAGAGCCTCAATTATATCCTTTTTCCTAATCCGGTCAAAGGCTTTGCTGAGATCTACAAAGCACAGTGAGAGTTCCCTTCCCTTCTCGACAATCTTCTCTGTGATTTGTCGCATAGTGAAAACTAGATCCTGTGTGCTTCTTTGACTCCTGAATCCATACTGCTCCTCTCCAATCTTAGATTCTACGGTGCTTCTAATCCTTTCCTCTAGGATTTTTGAGTATATTTTACTGGGAACACTAAGGAGCGAAATACCTCGATGATTGTTGCAGTCCCTGTTGTCTCCCTTCTTATATATTGGCACTATGACTGCGACTTTCCAGTCCTTCGGGATCTTCTTCTGTTTCCAGACCAGGTTCACAAGATGGAGAAACATTTCCTGGCCTTTACTTCCCATAAACCTCATCATTTCCGGAGTGAATCCGTCCGGATGGAAAAGATAGCAAAATAAAAAGATAAACATTTACACACGCATATTTATAAAGCATTTACAAAAATGTGCAATTCGAAGAAAAAAAAAAATTAAAATCGTGGAGTTTAGGTCAAAAACTCCTAAACATACAATATTTGAAGTTTTTACAAGCAAGCGAATACAATAACCTCCGAAGTCTATTGATAACAATAATGGGTTTCAATATTTAAAAAAAAAATACGAAAAATTGAACACAAATTTCAGAATAATAAATCATTACAAATAATGAATACAGAGTACACTTGGGTTTGAAAGTTTTCTCCAATTATGAACTTATGACCGAATACATACAGAAAATTATGGCGATTCATTTTTTTTTTCCTCTGAAAATAACTGTACTAATTAAAAATACAAGTAAATGTGAATTGGTATAAAACGACATATACAGTGTTGAAGAGAAAATGTATAAAAGATGTTGTCATTAAAGAAACTGTAACTATGTTTAGAACTTTAAGTCTTAGACAACTAGCGCAATCAAGGAGAGTTGAATTTTCGTGGTGAAGCTTCCCTCCCCCCCCTCCAAAATAAATTTCCATTGTTTATATGAATGATCAGCACCAAATATATTAACGACATATTAGCTACAATCGGTTCCCGGCTTCAAATGGTGTAAAAACCAAAGGTTTGAAAAGTGGTCTCTAAAAATATCCCCGAGACGCTGTCATTATTTCCAGATCCCAAAAACGTTAGCATTCCCTCACAAACAAACAATTATGATCTAGGTCCACTACTGAGAACTTGAGATAGAGAAGGTGAAATCTTCATATATATATATATATATATATATATATATATATATATATATATATATATATATATATATATATATCAACTTTCTCCGGTTCAAGAGCACTGAAGAATCTAGATCTGTGGATTATGGGTGCATAGAATTAGCAGATGCACGGATCCTATATTTCTACCCATGGAACAAACTTCTGGGGGAGGGTATACTGACATAGTGGAAAACAACATCACAATTCCATTTAAGGGACACAGGGTAGTGTCATCACTCCTACACCTGACCTCAGACAACCTACAGTATATGGACAGGGCTCATATACCCAAGAGGAGGGGGGAGAGCAAATTTATTTAAATATTTCCTCTTTTATTCATTTTTTAAATTAAGTATTGCATGTGGAATCCCGGGACCTTTATTTGGACCCACAATCTTCGACTAGTGGATTATGCATGCGCTTGGTTACATAACAATGGTCCCCTTATATATTCATACATTAAAATTGATAAGGTTATAACTTCATTTAATAATCTTTTTTTTAACGTTACCATCATTGTCCATATCTGTGTCGCAAGCATCCCCTATTCCATCCTTATCCACATCATCTTGGTCCATGTTAGGAACTGTTGGGCAGTTGTCACATGCATCTCCCTGTCTGTCAGCACCATCTTGATCTGTGTCCAATTGGTCCGGATTTGCAACCAGTGGGCAGTTATCCTAAGGTCACACAATCAAAAACTTTTTATCTTTTCCCATGATTAAGGATTCTTATCTTAAAATGAAAATAAACTGATATTTACTACGTATTAATATGGTTTCTACATCAACCAATCCGATTTTACTTCATGACCTTTGTTATTTTCGTTTAATAAAATATTAGAGGCATGGTTTTTGTGAGCGAACTACTTTTTGACTTAATTCCTGTCCATGGTGGACGTATCCAGAGGTGCAAGTATGCGCAGCTGCCTCCTTCTAACTTGGACAATATTAAAAATAAAGGGACAATAAATATTAAAAGCGTATTTCTAAAATTTTATTGATAGGTTGATTTTTAGTATTTCAACATGAAAAAAAAAAAGAAACTGATAGGAAAATAAAGACTAATTGCTCCTTTCCAAATTAAATTAACCGCCCCTTTTAAATTATAATGACTCCTTCTAGCTTCTTGCCTGTCCACTACCAAGTACTCTATTTCTTATAATATTCCCATTGCTTATTTATCTCTTAAATGAAAAAACGCTTATATATATATATATATATATATATATATATATATATATATATATATTATATATATATATATATATATATAATTAACAAAAAAATCTACATCTTACAGGTGTATTTAATATTCCATCGTTATCTGCGTCTTCATCACAAACATCTCCGATTTGGTCTTGATCGGCATCTTCTTGTCCAGAATTAGGTATATGAGGGCAGTTGTCCTAAAATTCATTAAATATTGTTTAGTAAGGTTACAAAATATACAAAGGAAAAAAAAACCATTATTTTGTATCTTAATCTACTGTATTATGATTTGTGATGTGAAATTTAATTATGAATAAAGTTTTTAATGAATAAAGAAATTTAATTACGAATATACTACATGACAAGTATGAATCCAGAGAATAACAGCAACAGGATTCCAAAGATATAGACAGAAGATGGTTAGTATTTCGCAGAATACATCTCGACGCTGCAGGAAAAGGGTGTGTTAAAATCCGCGGGTGACAGTATATTTGTCATCCTGTATTTAACTATGTAAAAGTGAAGATATGAAAATATATGTCAAAGCAATCCATCTTCAGTCACCGTCATGAATACAGCTATTGGTACAGTTATTGGTAGATAGATTGATAATACAATAATATACGACATAGCTTAAAGCAGTGTAGAACAGTCAAGTTAATGCGACTTAAATTGGGGAACGCTAGCATCATTAAGCACTTACCGAAAACTGTTATAAATTCATTCGTAATTATAAACACAAGTGGAATAAATTATAACATGTTACATGTGATAAGGGAGATCTTAGATTAAAAAAAAAAAGTTTTTGACGATGTACGAGATACAGACAGCGGCTGAAACTATGAAAACCATTTCTATCCACAGTATAGGTCTCACCATATGACTATCATCCTTAGTCAGAATAAATAAGTGTAAATAACCAGAAACAAGTACCTCATAACCCTCATTGTCGAATTTTCGCGGTTCCAATTAGCTTACTTGGACTGCTATCCCTTTTCCTGAAATGAATTCTTTGGCAATCATATAATGCTTTGTTTCTTTATTCCCAACTTTTGGAACCCTCCTCTTATCAGAGGGAACATCAAAACTTCCTGCATTCACTTACTAAAGAGAGTTCCATACCTTCGCAATATAATCCAATAAGAAGCGGTATGATCGAACGAGAGAATGGGACCATTTAAGTTGTTTTTAAATAAGTGAACCTGGTTTCTATGAATCATACTTTATAGCGCTCTGTTTTCCATACGATTACTGTTATGTACAACCACTAATGAAATACTCATGAGAGGATGTTCAAATAAAACCCTAGATGTATCAATGACTATTCTTTACTCTTTTGTCTTGTACTTTTATCCGAACTTCTAATAAAGGAGAATAAAATTCGATCGCACAAGTATGGTCCACTAGTGGAGAAGGGGTGGAGCTCATAAATGCGGATCTCCAATACATTAAGATTCAAATGACGACTCTTGCAATCATTTGGCAACAAGTGGTGAAGTTACATACATGCATAGTTAGTTGCATACATGCGAATGCGTAATTGGAAACGGATCATCCAGTACGGATCCCCCTTTCCCAATGGGGGAAGAAAATTCGATCAAAATACTCTTCGTATGTTTTATCTATTCAACTGCACATAATTGTGAAATCGTAACAATAAAGCTCTATGATTATACTCTAAACGTTACTGGTGCCTCAAGATCAGAGATTATTTGATCACAAATTTAATTCTATTAACAGCCTGAGTTCTCCAGCTACTAACATCGTTCAACTTCATTCATGAGAACCTTGAGCTTAACAGAGGAGGGCTGGAAAGAGGAGCTTGCCTGTGGATTTTCTTTCTTGATGGTCACACTGAAAGAGGCGGATTGGCGTATTTGTTTGACCTTGGTCCTTCCAATCGGAGGAAACACCATTAATTCACATTTTATTTACTCTTTTTGTATATACTTGATGCAAATGCTTCTTAAATAAATTTTGTATTTCAATTTCCTGTAGTGGGGGGAGAGTGGGAAGGGAGTAGGGTAGCTCAGTGGTAGGGTAATGAGCTTCCAATGCTAAAGGTCCCAGGTTCGAACCCCGGCTCATGGCAGAAAATTAATTTATCTGTTTCATCAGCCTTGGATCGACCTTAAAATCGGGATACCTTTCTGGGACACACATAGCCTCTATAAATTCGATACTCTTAGCTAAATAATTAATTAAGGGAGAAAGCCTGGCAGTTGGGCACGACCAGGGGTGCCCCCTGTCCCAAGGTCGATGGCGCAGGAACCTACTCTTCCCCTCCTCACACTCTCAAAATATTTTATTGCTCATATTTTCTTAAAAGCACGGCAAGCGAAGATAGAATTAGAAAAATCGTAGTTCATAAACAATTACACTTTCTGCGGTCTGTCCCATGTTTTCTCCTTGTCCCATAGTATGAAACTTTTCAATACCCATAGTATGAATTCCAAAAATTCATAACCCTCAAAATGAGCTCCCCTTATAAATTCAAAAACTCCTCCGAATATGATTCCTCAAAAATTTTGATGGCGCAATTTACGCCATAAACTCCCTTCTAAGCACCCCTGGGCGTGACTCTCCTGCACAACCGTCGACCTTGAAACAATACTTCCTTACATAGTACTGATAACCCAAGACCCTTCGTGTTTTCTTTTTGTTTTATTATAAGTAATGCAAATATATATTGGCTATTGGGTGTAAAATATTTATTAACTTATCTTTTGCAATTACCTTAAGTTTTTGTTTGCTCTTACAACTAACTTCTAATTATAAATCGTTATGCCTTTAGTCCAACAATCGTCGTAAATAATTTGGCAAAACATTGGAACGTATTTTTCTATCGTTTCTATAATTTAATTACTGGAATCGTCGTCAGCCACATCCAAATCTACTGTATCAGCCTGATTCTAAATAATTTACAATAAATTGAAGGGTACGTTAACTAACACCAAACTATGATTAGTGTTCCCCAAAATCGGCCTTGGTCTTGCACTTTGCAAGACCAAGACTAAGACTGGTAAAAAAAATCAATGTTTTTAATAAAAATTAAGGCAAAATAGTTACTAATACTTGACAATCTTAGTTACTATATGTTAATAATTGGTTGTGTTAATAACAAATATACTTTTATATTGGTCTAATTAGACTGGGCTAATAATACTGTTTTAAAAAAAAAATAGCTGTGAAGTTCCCAGCGTTCTCCTTCAGTTAACAAACGAATGGTTTACGAAGGTTTAGCAGTTCGCAAGAATTATCATGATGCTAACATTTTCAGCGCTGTGAAACGCAATACCTCCATAGATGTATAACTTACAGATAGTAAATAGTATTGGTATCTTTTTATTTTTTAAAAAGCACTGTTTTAAGTCCTTGCTTAGATTTCATTCATTAGCCTTGTTTGATTTCAACAACCAGTTAAAGACAGTCACAAGTGGAAGGATATAGCGACTTATAATATAATATACAATTATAGGTTTATAACGACGAAGTTTATCCGGTCCCTTCAAGGTTCTCACGATATCCACTGTTTATTTATTTCCAATTTGAAAAATTATTCACATACTAAAAAAGTTCCCTAACTCTAAAATTTTCCTGTGTATTGAAAATTCCCTGACTTTTGCCGTTTTTTGCGGGTCCGAGTAGAGTTAGTCGGGTTGAATAGAGATAGTCTCGAGGAGCTATTTGCGACGAAATTATCTTTTTCCGATCAATAAATACCATAATTGTAGCTTAACAAGAGGTAATAATTGTACCATTACTGATAATAATCTTCTAGTTTTTTATTTTATTTTAGAGTTTTGAATCGAACATAAAAGATATGGAGTGATTATTCAAGGCCAATTTCTTTTAAATATTTTTTCATGTTTAATTATTCTCTAATTATTCAACTTTAATAAAAGGTCAATTATGACGAAATTAATTCAAATGCTCAATCTCAGTGACCGAAAAACTACCTCAAGTCAAACTCGTCAATACGCCATGTTTGGGCGCCATTTTGGAATAATGCGGTCACTTCATGTGAATTACCTTTCCATTTTTTTTTTCAATGAACAGGCAATAGCATAGGCCTCTTGTCAACGTTAGCTATCGTTGAATTTTTGAAAGAAGGCGCTACTGGGCGACATAATCGGGAGAGCACCACTGAAATGGAAAATTCGATGGAGGCATTCTTTTCGACAAAGAAGGGGTTTTTGAATCATCAATGCCCACCTTCGATTTTAGATATCTTCCCTTTTAGAATCTGGAATTATGAAATGGTTGCAGAAAGTAGAAGAACAAATTTATAATTGAGAAAATTTCCTACTTTGCTTAATTTGGAACACACTTTAAAAAGTGAGTGAATACTTCAATGGTCCTTTGAAGTTCTTTTAAAAATTGATTAGAAGAGGCAGGTTCCAAGACGTATGAATTCTAAAAAGTTCTTAAATCACCATTGCCAAGAAACAGATGTACAGGAGTAATATAGAGCCACCAAAAAAAAATTAACTTCTTGACGCAATCAGAGTAAGCATGAACAACATCCGGAAGTACATTCAATTCTGTGATGGCATATCAATGACCTTGAAATTTTAATTTGGCTAGGTGATAACTGGAAATATTTGAATTTAAAGAGGTAGAGGCCATGCAAACTGAGCCAGAAGTAGGATGGATCCATGAATCGGCAGCTCCTAGAAAACTGTTTAAATATATAAGATTCAGATCTTCCAGTACTATTAAAGTATATCTCAGTTGACTGTTAATCTAAATAACGAAAAGTAGATGAAGAAGCTGCCATTAGAGCAACTGACTTGGAAGTCAATGATTTACAAAACCCCAATGACTAATTTTGAAATATTTGTCACATTTAGAAATTAGTGAAACAAGAATATCATCTTTTCTTTTTAATACACTGACAGGCAACAAATTCCACCCACTTGATTTTTTCATGTTTTCATCTAAAAATATTTCCGCTTTGGATTGGTCTATTGTTTTTAATGAATAAATAGGTAATCTTTTTGTTTGTTTTCAATTAGGAATGTTAATATAGAGGACAATAACTCTTAATCCTTAATTCAATGAAATGATTCTAGATTCCAATGTTTACTTTCTATGGAATCAAAATGTTTATTCAGTATCATTAGTTCAGTGCCGTTTCTTGCAGCACATTTCTTAGTCTCCGGATTTTAATTTTTTCAATATTAACTTTAAAAAT